TTTTTTCCTAAAACGTTAGTTAATATTTATACCCAACTCTACGAACAGTATGTACGATCGGCATGTGCAAGCACATAAACCTTAGCATTCACATTGAAGCTAAGTTGCAGGGGAGGGGTCCCACAAAATATAACAAAAAAACTAAAATAACCACTAAAACAAAGACAAAAATTACAAAAAGAAACACTACAGCAAGGACAAAACAGAACTAAGCCAATACAGATGTAGGAGATAGCCATGCAGAGATATACGAACTGAGAGAAGTCCTACCACTGAACACAGAGGTCCCTAGCCAAGCTTCCACATAATTCAGCTATCCATCAAAACTATGAAAAACAACAACTGAAACGGCAGACAAATTAAATACTAATGTTGTTCACTTCCTCCAATTCCAGCCATTCCTTTTGTGCGCCTTGTGCAATATCCTTTTTAGATTTCCGCGTGTTGATGAAGATCCAGATGTTTCTAGATTTCCAAAACCATCATAAAATATAAGAGGAGAAATGAATGCGATCATGGAAGCTCTTCACCCTCTTCATGGAACAAACATCAGACCACCAAATTTTTGAAAGAAAATGCCGAGTGATGCATACCTTTCCAATGAAGCCCCGCAAGTTTTTCAGACTTTGACAGCACGAGCGAAAGTAAAGCAGATATGTTCAAGGGATTCATCAGAGGCTCCACAAACACTGCAAATCGGATCAACACTGATACCTCTTTTGATGAGTTGGTCTTAAATTCCTATGTAATTAAACCAGCATTTCCAGAGAAAAACCTTGATTTTCTTTTTTATTGATGTAATGATGAAGCTACGAGTGAATTATTGATGTGAGAAGCTAAGTTTGAAGCATCAAACTCTCCATTCTGTTCCATTATCACTGTTTGGGGGATAAATTGAGATGGTGGGCTCTTTGCCGCCGCCGAGGTCTCTGAGTTGTAGAGCCCAGTTCAAGACGAAGACTTTCCTCGGATTCTTGCCTCATGGAAACGCACAAGTAACGTCTTACGTTGTGTGAATTTGTGTGCTTCGTTTCTGAGTGTGTATTGATCTGTTCTTCTGCTGATTGATTAGCATACATAGAGCGAGTTTAAGAAGATGGGTTCAATCAATTGTTTAGGAAATAATATTGTTGGTGCTTGTACTTTGATTTGCTTTGATTTTCCTTTAGTTTTTTCTTCCCTTATATTTTTCACTAATTAGAGACAAAGAAAGAATCTTTGTATGTGATGTTTATGATAAAGTTATTCATTAACATATCAAACTTGTATCTAAGGCCGAGTGATACCTTCTTGAGCCTGAAGCAGTCTGAGTTGTAAACTATTGATGGTCAGTGCTTGTTCAGGCCTACAATCCAGGGGTCACTCCAGATGTCTGTGTTTCTACCATTCCCAATTGACATGATGGCACCCCTTCTGAGGTGCGGTATTACTTTGAGCCATGTGCTCCATAACCAAGAATCTGAGCATTTGTGTTGAGCTTTCTACAATGATAAATTAGGAAAGTATTTTCCTTTGAAAATCTTGCTCATCAGGAGATCTGGCTTCTGAATGATCCTCCACAATTGCTTTGCGATAAGAGCATCATTGAAGGATGCTATACATTTGAAACCCATACCTCCATCCTCTTTGGGCAAAGTGAGTTTGTTCCAGGATGCCCAGTGGATTCTACTCCCTCCATCTTCTTTGCTACCCCACCGAAAGGAGGCTGAGCACCTGCAGATTTCTTTACAAATGGCCAGCGGTAATTTAAAACATCACATTATGAAAGTGGGGAGAGAACCTATAACCGATTTTAAAAGTATTTATTTCTCAGCATCAGAAAGAAAAATGTTTTTCCAGGAGCTAAGCCTACTAACAACCTTATTAACAACAAAGCTAAATGTTTCTTTTTTGGTTTTTCCAAGCCCTAATGGCAAACCTAAATATCTAGAGCAACTAACAGTAGATATCCCTTTCAGGATTGAGCTTATCTCAGCTTTGGTATGAGCTTGGGTGTTCTTAGCGAAGTAAACCGAGGATTTACTGAGATTTACCCTTTTGGCCTGACTCAAGACCATAGAGTTTGAGGATATTAGAGATCAAGGTGGCATGGTGAGAATCAACAAAATAAGATTTTCGAAACGGAAAAGACGATTTTTATTTACAAAATGGAAGAGGTAAAGATATCCAAAATGTTGGCTTGGACTAAATAAGGGCAAAAGGCCCATTATCTTTTCATAAATGAAAGATTAAAAAAAAAGTTCTTTTATAACCTACGTCTTGCGCAGACATAGAAGAGAAGAGCATAGAAAAAAAATTCAAACCTACTCCTCTTTTCATTCCCGCAACTGCACTGTGCAGTCACAGAAAATCGCCGATTCCCGGCGATTACACCGTTGGATCGTCACTAAATTTTGACAGAAGCTTCATGAATTCATACTCTTCGTTTTGAATGGTGGAGATCGGATTTTGAGCACGTTTGAGCTGTCTGTTTTGTGTGTGACGTGAAGGGGCAACTTTTGTGTTTTTGTTAATTTGTTTCTTGTTGCTTGCCAAGATCTTGTGTTGTGATCTTGATGATTGTTGTTAGCCTCTACTTTGGTGAACTAGAGAGGATTTCGGTGTGCCCATTATCGGATTGATATAGTGGATGATTTAAGCGGCCTACGGGTCCCGTGGTTTTTACCCAATTTGGGGTTTTCCACGCTAAAGATCTTGTGTCATTTTATTGCTTGCTTGATCATCGTTTGGTTGCTATTTCTTGTGGTTATTGTTGTTCATTGGACTTGGTGCTTATTATTCGGTTAAAGTTATTTTCATATTTGGTGGCTTTAACCATAACAAAGTGGTATCAGAGAGCCAGGTTGGATCGTGTATCTTGTCCAAATCATGGAGACTAACACAAGCCGGATGGTGACCTTGAATGGGTCCAATTACCATGTGTGGAAAGGGAAGATGGAAGATCTCTTGTATGTGAAGGATTATTATTTGCCCGTGTTTACCGATAAGAAGCCATCAGATAAAACCAATAAAGAATGGGAGCTTTGTCACCGTCAGGTGTGTGGCTACATTAGGCAATGGGTAGATGATAATGTCCTCAACCACGTTAGTGAAGAAAAGCATGCACGGACCTTGTGGAATAAACTCGAAGAGTTGTATGCGAGGAAAACCAGGAACAACAAGTTGTTTGATCAAGCAGATGATGGCTTTGAAGTAACAAGATTGAAAGACTATGTCAGACCACTTGAACACATTCCAAGGAATCATTAATCACCTGGCTGGAATGAATATCAAGTTTGACGATGAAATACAAGGGTTGTGGCTTCTTGGTACTTTACTGGACTCGTGGGAGACGTTCAGAACGTCTTTGTCTAACTCAGCCCCGAATGGAATTTGCTCCATGGATATGGTGAAGAGCAATGTTCTGAACGAAGAAATGAGAAGAAAATCACAGGGTTCTTCTTCACAGAAGAATGTTTTATTCGTTGAAAGGCAGGGGAGAAGTAAAATCAAGGGTCTGAATGATAGAAATCGAAGTAAAAGCAAATCTGGAAGGTACGCCAACCTTGAGTGTCACCATTGGGGCAAAAAGGGACCATCAAGAGGTATTGCAGAAAGTTCCTCTGGGAGAATCCGGATGGCAAAGGCAAAGAAAAGAAGGCTGGAGATGGTGAAGATGGTGAGAAGGTAGCGGCGGCTACCAAAGACTTTCTTGTCCTTTATGAAGGGGATGCCGTCAATGTTGATTGCCAAGAGACTAGTTGGGTGATCGATAGCGGTGCTTCGATTCATGTCACATCGCGAAGGGATTTTTTCAGGTCTATACTCCCGGTGACTTCGGAAGTGTTAGGATGGGAAATGATGGTATTGTTAAGTCAATTGGCATGGGAGACGTGCACTTGGAGACTGAGAATGGCAACACCTTAGTTTTGAGAGGTGTAAAGCATGTTCCCAACATTCGCATGAATTTGATATCTACCGGAAAGCTCGATGATGAAGGGTTTTGTAACACCTTTCGAGACAGAAAATGGAAACTCACGAAAGGATCCTTGATTGTGGCGAGAGGGCAGAAGTTTTCCTTGTGATGAACGTGAAGATTGCAGATCCTATGATAAATGCGGTGGATGACGAATGCATTGTAGAACTTTGGCACAGCCGAATTAGCCACATGAGCGAGAAGGGCTTGACATAGTTGGCCAAGAAGAATCTCCTTCCAGGTGTGCAAACGGGTTTTTTTGAAGAATGTGCTCATTGCTTGGCAGGGAAGCAAACCAGAGTTGCCTTCAGGAGAGTTCCCCACTCATGCAAAATGAGTATTTTGGATATGGTCCACTCTGATGTATGTGGTCCAATAAAGACGAGAACACTTGGAAGATGCTTGGATATAAATTAGATCCGATTTTACCCAAAAATTACTCAACTCGGCACTGTTGAGAATAACTGGACAATTTCTGAAGTATTCTGCCGACATTTTCTGCGTTTTTCTGCAGCCCACCATATTTTTGGGATCGTCCCTTATTTTTAGATCATGCTTTGTTTATACCCTAATATAATAACATAAAATTGTTCCTGTGGGTCCATCTTTTTCTCTTAGTTGATATTTTCCAATTGGCCAAAAAAAAAAAAA